CTACAAAGGAAGAAACGGAAAGAAAGAAAGAAAGAAAGAAAGAAAGAAAGAAAGAAAGAAAGAAACGGAAACAAGAAAGAAAGAAACGGTAGAAAGAAAGAAACAGTAGAAAGAAAGAAAGAATGAAAGAAAGAGTAGACAACAAAGAAACAAACAGTACAAAGGAAGAAACGGAAAGAAAGAAAGAAGAAAGAAAGAAAGAAAGAAAGAAAGAAACGGAAACAAGAAAGAAAGAAACGGTAGAAAGAAAGAAACAGTAGAAAGAAAGAAAGAATGAAAGAAAGAGTAGACAACAAAGAAACAAACAGTACAAAGGAAGAAACGGAAAGAAAGAAAGAAAGAAAGAAAGAAACGGAAACAAGAAAGAAAGAACGAAACAGTAGAAAGGAAGAAACGGAAACAAGAAAGAAAGAAACGGTAGAAAGAAAGAAAGAAAGAAAGAAAGAAAGAAAGAAAGAGTAGACAAGAGAAACGAGAACAAGAAAGAAAGAAAGAAAGAAGGAAAATAGAAACAGTTGAATGGAAGAAACAGAAACAGTAATGAAAGAAACACATGAGAAAAGAGAAAGAAATGCAAACATTATAAAGGAAGAACGGAATCAGGAAATAAAAAAGAAAGAAAGGAAGAAAGAAAGACAGCAAGAAAGAAAAAAGCAAAAGAAAGAAAAAGATAGAAAGAAAGAAAATGGAAAATTTAGAAAGTAACAAACGGAAATAAAGCATAAAGAAAGAAAGAGAGAGAGAGAGAGAGAGAAGAAAGGCATAAAGAAAGAAAGAAAAAGGCAAAGAGTAGAAATGAATAAACGGAAACAAGAAAGAAACAAAGAAAATTGAAACAGCAAAATGAAGAAACGGGAACAAGTAAGAAATAGAAGCAAAAGAAAGAAAGAAGAAAGAAAGAATGAATGAAAAAAAGAAAGAAAGAAAGAAAGAGAAAGGGTGTAGGTGTGTGTGAGAGATAATGATCGTAGAAAAGAAAATATAAGGAAGAGAAAAGAACACGTGTGAGAATAAGTGTGAGATATCGGTAAGAATGAATCTGTGTATGCACGAAGGCTTCTGTATGCATGTGTCAGCTTCGGGGTCAACTGTACGCATGCCCGTGTGAATAGTTGCACTTGTGTAAGTACGCTTTCAAACATGTATATATATATATATATATATATATATATATATATATATATATATATATATATATATATATATATATAGCGTGTTAAGCTTAAGCTGTTTGTATGCCAAATTATAAGTGTTTTTGTCATTCTCTCGGCCCACACGACGCCCTATCGTCACCTTCGCCGCCGCCGCCCTTCGTTTCGACTTTGTTGCCACCGTTTCCGTCATCTAGATTGAAGTTTTATTTTGTCTAAAATTTACGGTCAGCAAATTTGAATAAAAGGTGAACGAATTCTTAGGAAAAGGGGTTAATAGAAACATAAACACAGGAATTGATTGGTACATGGGAACCATAAATCTCCCCCTCGGATATTATCTAATTCTTTAATTTTCAGACACAGCTACCCCTTGTGTCTTGTGGAAATGAAGTGGACATATCCTCCATCATTGCAAGTGTCGCCGAATTGCAATGTATATAAGCCAGCATGTCAGATAATTTTTCTCTTCGTAAGAATAGAAGCTGTTCAATTAAACGTCCCAATTAAAGATGGCGTCACCTCTCAGGGGAGACGTTTGTGGATAACTTGTTACTAAACCAGTTTTCTGCGCCCGTTAAATTCTACCAAATTTTTAGTAGATCCCTCACAGGATTCACCTTGTGTCAGACTATGTCTCTATTTTGCTTACAAAATAATTTAGCGCTATTCTAGTATAACTACAGTGTAACCCGGATATAAGAGACCCGGATATAAGAGAGATTTTCTCTGGTCCCAAATTAGAGCCCATACTTACCGAAACAAAATAGACCAAACCCGGATATAAGAGAAACCCGGATATAAGAGACTTCTTCTCCAGTTCCGACAACTCTCTTATATCCGGGTTACACTGTATTTATATCCTCTTCTTCCTGTATGAGCCGTATCCATCCACGATGTGGGTGATCGTGTCTCACCACAATTTCCTTTCTTTCGTTCCTCGATGTTTGTATTTTTAGCTCATGTTATTTTCAGTGCCCATCTGTGGAATACCATTACCGAGTTTTTAGTCTTATCCCTCACAGGTTTCGCCTTGTGTCAGACTATGTCTCTATGTTGTTTACAAAATAATTTAGCGCTATTCTAGTATAACGTTTTATATCCTCTTCTTCCTGTATGAGCCGTATACCTCCAGGATGTGGGTGATCGTGGCTCTCCACAATTTCCTTTCTTTCGATCCTCGATGTTTGTATTTTTAGCCCATGTTATTTTCAGTATCCATCTGTGGAATGCCATTTCTGTAACTTCGAGCCACTAATTCATCCATGAGGAGATTATCCAGCATTCACTGCCATACAGTAATGGTAACAATTAATATTAGCCATTTTCTTATAAGAAAAAATTCAGTATTCAATGACCGAGCAGCAAGTGCTAATTTCAGTTGAAATCATTAAAATCTTTATATTGAAACAATTTATCAAGAAAATAAATTTCTCATTTCTTTTTACTCTTTCTGATTGGGGTTTCCTTCCTAACCTTTTGTTTGAAGTAGCTTGGAAAGCGATTATCTTGATTATTTCATTTTTTTTCTCTTCGAGTCAAATATACCATCCATTTTGGTTTTGCTGCTGTTGAAAGTCCTCAAATGAGGTAGTTTCTGATTCTATAGCGGCAGCCCACAAGGTTTGAAAAGTATAGTCCTCGATAAGACCTACAGGCTTCAGTCGTTCGAAGCCATATAGGAAATGAAATATTACATGTACTCTCCATTTTGGTTGTTGCTGCTGTTGAAAGTTCTCAAGTGATGCGGTTTCTGATTCTATTGCGCCAGTCCACGAGGTTTGAAATATGGTCCTCGATAAGACCTACAGGCTTCAGTCGCTCGAAGCCATATAGGAGATGAAATATTACGATGCGGTTATACCTTCTCTGCTTTCTTTCTGATTAAATTTTCCCATCTCTTTATACTTTGTATTTTTTTCTGGAAGACATCTTCCGTTGTTCCCATACTTCTTCGAATATATGTATCGCATTTTAAAACTTCAATAGCTGGACAATAATTTGTTTTAATTCGTAATTAACTATTAAATAAATAATCTGAAGCAGACACAAATCAAAGAGAATTATTGCGTAATTACAAGAGAGACATTAACTTGTATTGGCCACGCAGACTTCGGACGACGTTAGTTGGTGCTAGTTGCCGCCGAAAAAACGAGATTTGGCAAGGTAGTGCGTCTGAGGGCGGACCACGATGAGGGCCCTGGAGGAAAAGTGTTTAATGACGACATAGAATTTAATATCAGTAAAAATCAGACACCTGATTTTGAAGTTGACTAAAAGACAAGCAGAAAACGCTCGATCTTGTAAGTAAGGGACACGTTGCCGACATTTTTTGCTACGCCAAATTCGTGCATATGTACGGAAATACGATAGATTAGTTTACATAAAATTCCTTGTCAGTAGCATTTAAACCGATCTCCTGTACAATACGGGGACTTGAGTAAGTGAAGCAGAGAAAGACAGAGAAAAAGGGACAAAGAAAGTAAGAAAGAAAAATAAATAAATAAATAAATAAAGAAAGAAAGAAAGAAAGAAAGAAAGAAAAAGAATAAGAAAAAAGAGTAAGAAAGAAAGAGCAAGAAAGAAAGAGAGGAAGGATTAAAGATCGAGAAAGAAAGAAAGATGGTGAGAAAGGAAGAAAGAGAGAGAGAGAGAGAGAGATAAAGAAAGAAAGAAAAACGAGAGAAAGAGACAAAGAAAGATAAAAGAAAGATAACTGAGAAAGAATGAAAGCGGGAGATTGAAGGAAAAAAGAAAGAAAAAGAAGGAAAGAGAAAGAAAAAAGAACGAAAGAAAAAGAAACAGAGAAAAGAATAAAGAAACGTCACAAAAGCAAAAAGAAAAAAGAAAGAATGAACGAGCAAGAAAGAAAAAGAAAGAAAGAAAGAAAGAAAGAAAAAGAGAAATAAATAAAGCAATATAAAGATAGAAAAAGAAAAAACAGAAGAAAGAAAGAATGAAAGAAGAATAAAAGAATTTGATATAAAAAGGAAAGAATAAAAGAAAAGGACAACGGAAGCAATGGAATTAGTTTTGAGTTGGGCGCCTGAGATGCTGAATCTGTTTAAATCAGATAAGTAAATTAGTGTTTCCTGTTGGAGGAAGTCGGATAGATTTTCCGGAAATTGTCGATCTTGACTAATCTGTAACCAGACAAGATGACAGCAGCTCCCAGAATTCCCTTCGTTTGTAGCGTCAAAGCCCTGCGTAAAATGACTTGTTGCATTTTTCTACATCGTGTCGTATTTTGTAATAAAACGAAAACCGTACAGCAAAAAGAAAACACACCCAACATAATCGTATAAAGGATTAAGTGGGAAAAAAAACCCAGATGATTCTTATTATCATTCACTGTATTTTTTGAGAATATGCACAAGTTTTAACACAGCGCTTCAGCCGATATATTCTTCGGCTTTATACGTGTACATGCCGCATACGATTATCCGTTTTCTACTTTTTATTCCAATTCCTTTTATTTATTCAGTCAGTTATGTACCATGCGTGATACACGCTTAGGCGATCATATATCTTTCGATATATGACTTGCGAGGCAGATTTTTCCCCGCAGTAGGTCGCCATTTCTTTCTGAGGTAGACCAGTTGCCATCTAAAGCTATAGAACCCGGTCTGTCCTGCTATTTATCCATAGTGCGATTGATTACATGTACAGTCAGTCAGTTACGTGTCTTGCGTGATACACGCTTAGGCGATCATGTATATTTCGATACATGACTGACGAGGCATATTTTTTTCCCGCAGTAGGTTGCTATTTTTTTCTGCGGTAGACCAGTTGCCATCCAAGGCTATAGAACCCAGTCTGTCCTGCTATTTGCCCATAGGATATTAGCACGTAAGTGAATATAACGGATTCGAGTAGAATTCGAACTCGGCTCTCCGATTCATCAATCTGGGTAGATATCCATTACTCCACCGTGCCTCCTCCCATTACTACGCTTAAAGTCGTGTAGTCAGCACAAACTGTCATAAAAATATTTCTAGAAAAGACACAGAGGAGTTGGGTTACTGTTAAAATGGTTAGAATGAATAAGGTGGGTAACATAAATGAAAAGGATGGTGGTAGGAAGTAACGATTATGGGAATAAAATTGGAGTTTTCATGGAAGCATCCACTCGTGAATCCGTTCCATAAATTAGCTGTTCTTGGAGGAAAGATGGGAATTTTCAACAAGAAGGAAATGTGGGTGATTCGGTTCCACGGAAATATCATGGCGTCTACTAGTTGAAAATGGAGCTCTTCTGAACATTTGCCATGGAAATAGTAATAAAGTAACTATAGGCTATCGACGTTGCATATATGGGGAAATATTAGGTTGTTGCAAAAATAATGACGTAATAATGTCGTTTTTTGACGTTAAAACATACGTCAAAAAACGAAATTATTACGTCATTATTTTTGCACCAACCTAATAGTTGTAAGAGTGGAAGTAACTTATCTTTCACAAGGGTCACGTAAACAATTTTGAGGGGAGGAAATAAAAGATTTAAATGCTCCATCCTAGATACGGCAGTTGGAACACAAATTGAAGCATATACAACATCCGCCTAACAGTTGAACTTGTAGACTACTTCAGATGTAGAGGCTCAATCTCACTATATGAGTCGTACTGCTATGGTTTCCGTTTGCTGTATTCTATTAGGTTGGAAAAATAATGACGTAAGAATGTCGTTTTTTGACGTTACGTCAAAAACGACATTATTACGTCATTATTTTTGCACTAACCTAATAGATGCTCAGAATGGATAAAACTTAACATTTTCTACTGGCTACTCACCAAGAACTTATAGGGAGAAAGCATTGCTTTTTTTCTACGTGGACACGGATTTTTCATCTAGATTTTATTTAATCATTAAAAGTCAGTTCAATTGTTAATCATGTGTTTATCCTTTTGAATGTATGCTTTCATTGTCATTCGGTGGTATGATATACA